CCCTTTCCACCTTACTTTCCAGCTGGCGTCCTTGACTTTGGAACCTTGGCTTTGCGGGAAGCTCCAGGCTTCCCGGACCTTCTAATCCTGCTGTCCTTTCCTTTCCCTTCCGAGGTACAGCATTTCAGAGAAGCTACCCCTCCCTGAGCCTCGTGGTTGCGCTCACTCAGCCTGTGGTCTGAACTGTTGGCTGGGGTGATGGTGTTTGGTGTAAGTGGGGGTCCTCTTGGACTAAAGAGAGGGCTGAGAAGCTCTGGTCATGGGGACACCGTGGTGGTGAACTTTAGAAACTGCTGCAGAGGGTGTGCCTGGGACCCGGGAGGAGGCCAGCGCGGCCAGTGCTTCTCCTTTGCTGAGGATACTTCAGGTGAAGGAATCATAGCCATGGCACCCTTCCCTTAGACCTGGAGTGGGAGCGATGCAGTGACCTTGCATGTGACAGGCAGTATTTTATATGTCAGCTTCCTTGAATTGTTACAGTATGGCAGGGTTGTGGAGGTGGAAGGGGTTGAGGAAGAATACAGTTTTTGTCACATTCTTAATTTGTGGTTTAAAATACTGTCTGGGGTCAGCTCCCTTTTGCATTTGTGGCTGGGTGGACTGCTCCCAGCTGCCTGGGTGGTAATGTCTTATCAGTGTAAGGCACTTGGTATGGGCAAGGCTGATAGAGGTGGGGCCGCCTCTCATATGTACCTTCCAGGTGACTCACCCATCCCTTTGGGAAGCTTAACAAGGAGGGTTTTCTTTTACTAAGAATTGAGGGAATTACACGTGAGACCTGCCTCAGCTTCTCTAGGTCTATATACTTTAGTTTCAACATGCTACCTTCCAGCCAGCGCACATTTACTTCAAGTGTTTGGGATGGAGAAATTCTTTGAACATATGTCTTAGCGATGACTCAGCCTGTGTTATTACAGCCGATGGCAGAGAGGACATGAAGTACGATAGCTGAATTTTAGGCTGGGAATCTCAAGTGGCTTTTTTTTCCCCCTGCAGGACTGTGATCTGTCCTTTTCTACCAAGAATAAGAGGATTTGGGTTTCACGGCAGTGTATGGGATTTAGATTAGACTGCGCTTCATAACCTCTGTCAGATGCTCAACTAAGGATAGGCAAGGCATCCCCTTTATTCATTTAATAAACACGGAGAGACCACCGTGTGCCAAACATTTTGCTAGCTAGGCAGCTCAGAGATGCAGGCACCTAGCACTGGTCCTAGTGCTGAAAGAGCTCACAATCTAGATGGGGAATTTACATAAACTAGCGATTAGGCATATGATAAGTGCACTGTTAAAAGTGGGTGAAAGATTCCGTGGCAACACTGGGGAGAAGACACATCTTCTCAGGAACCCCCTTTCCACCCTGAATCAGCAGACTGCTGATTCTGGAGGCTGAGGAAGCATGTGATATATCCATCCTTTGGTTGTGGGTTGGCTTGACTTTCCCTCTTAAATCAGCTGCTCTTCTTTTACTTTACACCTAGGCAGGTGGGACCTCCTGCAGAGAACTGGGTCAGAGTGGTCTGGAAGGACTGGTCCTCTTTGTAAGGAGATGCCTCCTGAAGGCTATGGACATCTTTGTTCTTGCTGCTGTTGACCCCTCAGAGTCCCATTAACTCTCTTGTGTACTTTTAAAAATGCCTTTTATTTTGTTTTTAATGGAGCATGGAACTGTTTGTCTTGGGTCTGCTGAGGATAAATTTTTTTCTCTCTAGAATTTCTCAAGCTTTAAAAATAGTCCTGAGTTGCTTACAGGGTTTGCCTGATATAAAATGACTACTGTGAGCATGAAGTTCCTCGGGGGCGGGAGTGTGAGGGGCTCTGTGTGAGGGTTGCTCACTGCAGTCCTTGTTGGGCAGCAGAAGAGCTCAGAGACAAGTGAATGCATGAGCCGAGTTTTTTAAAAGAATGAGGTTTGAGTTGCCTTTTTCTGACATTTGCCCAGTTGCCCTTTTCTGATTCTTGCCCAGACACAGTGTATGAGTAGTTCTCTACACCCCTACTCACTCACTCCCCATTCTTGTTTTGGCTATTCAGATCAATGAGCTCAGCCAGGTGCCTCCCCCTGTGATGCTGCTGCCAGATGACTTTAAGGCCAGCTCCAAGATCAAGGTCAACAATCACCTTTTCCATAGGTATGTGGGAATTCCCACCCTTCTCACATCAGTCTTTGTAGAAAAGAATAATTTAAGAATTAAGATTTAATGAGTTGAAGGTTTTAGATTTAGAAGGCAACTTACAAGTTGTATTGTCTAACCTCCTTCCCAGTGCACAAATTCAGTATTGTGCAAAGAAACCATTAAAATAGTTGTCAGTGTCCCTACACCCTTATATGTATGTACTAGTTTATCTCGTCTCCTGCCTAGCAATTCCATAGAATAAATTCATTTGGATGCCATTACCATTAGTTTCTGATAGGGACTCCCTGAAAAAAAAATCTCTTTAAACCCTCCTAGTATCGGAAGATGCCATTCTAAAAAGTGGCACGTATTGCCAGTTTTAGGATGTCTCTTACTTGGTGGAGATTTGGGAAATGCTGCTGTTTGGATGGGCAGTAGAACCTAATTCTACTTAAGTCATTTACTAGTCAGGTGACTTAAGCAGGTCGCCCAACTATCCTGAACCATAGCCTCCCCGTCTATCAAATAGGGATAATATACCTTTAAAGGACCTCACAAGGGTTTTATGAGAATCAAATAAAGTAATATATGGGAAGGTGCTTTGTAAACTGTCAAGCCCTCCATAAATGTAAGGTAATATTGTTACTTTGGATTTTTTTTTAACCTTGAAAACCCCCTTTTCAGGGAAAATCTGCCCAGTCACTTCAAGTTCAAGGAGTATTGTCCCCAGGTCTTCAGGAACCTCCGTGATCGATTTGGCATTGATGACCAGGATTACTTGGTGAGAGTTTATTATGGGCTGAGGTTGGTCCTTTCTCCTTAACAACTGGGGAAGCCTTGTGACAGCCATGTTTGGAGAAATGAGAGCCTTGGCAAGTATGATTCTTTACCTTGTTGTCACAGACATCTTTAAAAATCTGCTGAAACTATGAACCTTGAGGGGGGGAAATGTAGATACATTAAAAATTTCAGCCCTGGTGGGTTTGACTCAGTAGATAGAGCCCTCGGACTGAAGAATTGAAGGGTCTCAGGTTTGATTCTTGTCAAGGGCACAGTGCCTCATTTGCAAGCTCGGTTCCCGGCCCCATGCAGGGCCTATGAGGCAAGCAATCAATGTGTCTCCCTAACATTGATCTTTCTCTTTCTCTTTCTCCTTCCCTTCTACTCTCTCTAAAAAAATCAATGGAGCCCTGACCGGTTTGGCTCAGTGGATAGAGCATTGGCCTGCGGACTCAAGGGTCCCAGGTTTGATTCGGCCAAGGGCATGTACCTTGGTTTTGGGCACATCCCCAGTCGGGGGTATGCAAGAGGCAGCTGATTGATGTTTCTCTCTCATCGATGTTTCTAACTCTCTATCCCTCTCCCTTCCTCTCTGTAAAAAATCAATAAAATATATATTTTTTTCAATGAAAAAATATCCTCAGGTGAGGATTAACAACAACAAATTTTTTTTGGCCCTGGCTGGTGTGGCTCCGTTGGTTGGAGTGTCATCCTGTATACCAAAAGGTTGAGGGTTTGATTCCTGGTTAGAGCACGTACCCAGGTTGCAAGTTTGATCCCTGGTTCGGGTGCATGCAGTGGGCAACTGATTGATATTTCACTCTCATATTGATGTTTCTTTCTATCTCTCTCCCTCTCCCTTTCTCTACCCCCCAAAAAAGCATGTCCTCAGCTGAGGATTAAAAAAAAGTTTTTTGCACCACTTTTAGTCCCTATATAGACACCAGATTAAGAAACCCTGCTCAACCTGTTATGCCAGTGTTTTATCTACTTTCAGACATATTTAGTTGAGCATTATCCTATGACTTGCATCTCCATATAAAAGGGGAAGAAAAGAGTCTCTGGCTTATTGTGTGTCTCTAACAGGTATCTCTTACCCGAAGTCCCCCAAGTGAAAGTGAAGGCAGTGATGGTCGCTTCCTTATCTCCTATGATCGGACTCTGGTCATCAAAGAAGTATCCAGTGAGGACATTGCTGACATGCATAGCAACCTCTCCAACTACCACCAGGTGAGGCCTTATTTTTTCCCTCCTCTCTTTAATCATAGCTTAGCTGCCAGAGCACACAGGGAGACTTCCTATCCCTTTTCCTCCTTTACAACCTATTTTGCTCCCCAAGAAGTACTCGACACCATGTTTTTTTGTTTCTGTAATTGAAAAAAAAATTTTTTTTAATTTATTAAATTGATTGAGGTGACATTGGTCAACATGAACATATAAGTTTCAGGTGTGGGTTTCTTTTATTTTTATATGTTTTTTAAAAACTTAAAATTTAAAAAAAAGAGCCTCTGTGTAGCTATTTGTGTTTGTTTAAATAGAAGAATTTAGACCATATTCCTTCTCATTTGGTACTTACGATCAAAACCACTATGGATTGATACATAAAATGCACGTATATATCAAAGTCTAAACTGTAGACATAATTGGGTGAAGTTTTAGCACCAAATATACTATCTGGAATAAATGCAGTTGGGGGAGAAAACCAGGATAAGTACACAATGGGGATAAACTGGAAAGTAGAAGCCATGATCATATCCAGTCCTAAAAAGGATTAGGGAGCTATTGTGGCTGATTAGCTTAACCTGGCATGTGGAGTTTGTGGAACATTTTGGTGATAACAACACTGCCTGGCCCCAGCCCAGTGACTCAGTCAGTTGGAGTGTTGTCCTGTGCACCAAAGGGTTGTGGGTTCGATCCCTGGTCGGGAAGTATATGGGAGGTGGCCCATCGATGTTTCTCTCTCTCCTTTACTCTCTCTCTAAAAAGCAATAAGCCCTGACTGGTTTGGCTCAGTGGATAGAGCATCGGCCTACGGACTGAAGGGTCCCAGGTTCGATTCCAGTCAAGGGCATGTACCTTGGTTTCGGGCACATCCCCAGTAGGGGGTGTGTAGGAGGCAGCTAATCGATGTTTCTAACTCTCTATCTCTCTCCCTTCCTCTCTGTAAAAAATGAATGAATGAATGAATCAATCAATCAATAATAAAAAGCAACAAAAACATCCTTGGTTGACGATTAAACATTTTTTATTTAAAAAAAGATAATAATAATGAAAGAAAAAACACACTGCCTGAATGTCTTTCTAATGAAGAAAAAAAACTCACTAAAACCAATGAACAAGGAATAAATGAAAAACTCTAAAAAGAATATTTGTTTTATCCAACAAATATTGAATGTTTTTCATTGCTAGACCCCGTGTTGGGCTGTGGAGAAAGAGGTGAATGAAATGGTCATGGCCTTTGGGGATCTCTTAATCTATTGGCAGAGTCCAGTAAGTTAGCATTAGCATGCAGCAAAATGTGTACAATAGTAGAGGTAGGTACAGAATGCTCCGGGGGGTGCAGAGGAAGAGCATCCCAGCTCACTGGCAGAAGGAAATATACTTGGGAGGCTCAAAGAGACTTTTTTAAATTTTTTTTTCAGTTTATAATGGTCTTTATTATCCATAAATGAGTGAGATCATGTGGTATTTTTCTCCGCTTCCCAGGGGCCGGTACAGCCTCGCAGGGGCTGGTGCAGCCTTGCATGGGCCGTCTCAGCCTCGCAGGGACCGTCTCAGCCTCGCAGGGGCCGTCTCAGCCTCGCAGGGGCCGTCTCAGCCTCCCAGGGGCCATATCAGCCTCGTAGGGGCTGTCTTGAGACTTTTTTTTTTTAGAGGGGGTATCACAGTAGTTGATTCTTGAAAGACTGGTAGGGACTAACCATTGGGCAATGTGATAGGCAAAGGAAAACAGCACTTGTAAAGGTACAGAAGCATGAAAGAGTTTAGGGTTACGGAACTGCAAGAAATTCAATGTGGTTGGGATATGGCATTGTGGAAAAATAGTTAGGCAGAACCCAGATTGTGAAGGGTTTTATAAACAACAGAGTTTGGACTTGATCCTGAAGGTGGTTTGCAGGAGAGTGATATGTATGTTACTTAGAAATATCCATGTGACAGCATTTTAGAGAATGAATTGGAGGGAGGACTATTAGGAATGGAGATACCAGTTAGGATGTAATTATAATTGTCTAGGTGAGATATGACAAGGGCCTGGAGGAACAATGGCAATGGAGATGGAAAGGTAGAGTTGTGGGAATTAAGGCAAAAGCACCTCTAAATTCCCAGTTAGGGGGGACAGGAAGCTCATTCACTAACACTTGGAAGCAGAAATAAGAAACAGGTTTTTGGAGGAAGACAGTTCTGATTTAGACATGTTGAGTTTGGGGTTTCTGCAGTTGATCCAGATATCACTGTCCATTAAGTGTTTGGGAAATGGAGTCCAGGAAAGAGGATTAGAGTAGAAGTCTAGATTTGAGAGTTATAGGTGAAGAGGTGGTAATTAAAGCCATGAGTATAGATAAGATTATTGAAATGAAGTGTGGAGTGAAATGAAAAGAAAGTTGAGGACAGAACCTTAAGGAGCAACTAGAGAAAAGATCCTTTAAAGAAGACTAAGGATCAATGAACACTTGTAATTATGCCCCACTTTATTTCATACAGGATTTGAGGACAGAAAGAAGGGGAATCAGAAAAGTAGTCTAATAGAAACTGAGGGTGAAGAGTTTTAAGGAGAGACTGGTCAGTAGTATAAAGTGCCATTCAGTTGATACAAGATAGTTACTAGATACCCATTGAATTTGGCAACAGGTATTTGGAGGAAGGAGGAGTAGAGTGATTTCAGAGGAGAAATGAGGGTATACATCTGACTTCACTAGTTTGAGGTATGAATGAGAGATAGGAAGTGGATTGATTGCTGACTACTTTTCTGAGAGGTTGGCTATGAAGAGAAATAGGTAGTAATACTGAAAGAGAGAAGCATTGAAAGAGGAATAATTTTTGCCTGACCGGTGTGGCTCAGTGGTTGAGCATTGACCTATGAACCAGGAGGTTATTGTTCAATTCCCAATCAGAGCACATGCCCGGGTTTCGGGCTCGATCCCTAGTGTGGGGGATGCAGGAGGCAGCCAATCAATGATTCTTTATTTTCATTGATGTTTCTTTCTCCCTCTTTCTTTCCCTCCTTCCCTCCCTCCCTCCCTTTCCCCTTTCCTCTCTGAAATCAATAAAAAAAAATATATAGGAGAGGAATAATATTTTAAAATTGATTTTAGGGAGAGGGGAAGGAGAAGGGGGAAGAGAGAGACAAAATTGATGTAAGAGAGAAACATCAATCAGTTGCCTCACGTATGTGCCCTGATCCCACAACTTGGGTATGTGCCCTGACCAGGAGTTGAACCTGCAATCCTTTGGTGCATGGGATTACACTCAAATCAATTGAGCACACCAGCCAGGGTGAAAGAGGAATAATTTTTTAAGAATCCAAATGATAGGCCATCAAGCAAATATTTTTACTAAGGGAATCTAGCCCACCAAGAAACATTGTTCTGGATAAAATCAATTTGTTGATAAACAGATGTAATTTCTAATTCTTTGACCATTTGCATATAAAGAAGGTCTAATATAAGGATAACACCCACATTCCCCATCTGAAAGAATGATAAATATGAAATAAGAGAAGGTACTTTAAAATTGAAGATACTTTAAAGTTAATAATTTGTATAATGTCTAGTTATGCAAATGACTAACCTGAGGAGATGAGTATTCAGAAACTTCACAGATGACCAGGGGCATCTTTAGAAAGCTCCCACCACTTTTGACCTTGTAACCTCTCTATTTGAAGTTTTCGGCTCAGTCTGGAATGATAGTGTTTGAATGCCCATCCCTAAACTGATTGTATACCTGCTGCTCAATCTTTTCCCATTTCTTCCTCTCTTCTACCCAGTACATTGTGAAGTGCCATGGTAACACGCTGCTGCCCCAGTTCCTGGGGATGTACCGAGTTAGCGTGGACAATGAAGACAGCTACATGCTTGTGATGCGCAACATGTTTAGCCACCGTCTTCCTGTGCACAGGAAGTATGACCTCAAGGTACAGAGAGTATAGATAGGGTGGAGGGGGAGGCTCCTGGTGGCCTGGGAGTGGGGAGGGCCAGGGAGGCTTCTAGATGATTTATTTTAAAGAAAAGAATGCTATGGGTTTGAATACTCTTCTTAGGAGCTGGATCTTGACTGTTCTTTTAGCCACTTCTGCTAACTTGGTCTTTGGGTCTCTCCACAGGGCTCCTTAGTGTCCCGGGAAGCCAGCGATAAAGAAAAGGTAATACTAATTTTAGGGTGAGGGATGGGAGAAGGCAGGTGAAAGGGATCTTCTTAGGATAAAGAGGAAGGATTACCAGCTATTGATTCTCATCTTAAACCAATGAAGAGAGATGTAAACTTGTCCCAATCCCTGGATTGTGTGGAATGGAAAGTGGGAATGGCTGCTTTGTCATTGGTTATTCCCTGTGCAAGATTTGGGGATGGGTGAGGATATCAGACTTGAAGAGCAAAATGCTTAACCTCCACCTCCCACTCTGGGCTCTTCTATTCAAGCAGCTATTTTTCCTTAAGAGGAAGAAAGAAAAGTCATTGGAAGGCCTTAAATGAAAACCATAAAGAGAAAGTAGTAGGATGTGATTTGGGGTACAACTGGAGTGACTGAGTCTGGGGAAAACATTGCAGGTGAGAACAGACTCTGAGTCAGCATCCCAATGTCGAGATCACTGAGTTAGAGACAGAGCCCTGGGTAGAGCAGGGTTTTTTGAGACCTTTGGGGAAGAGATATATATTCCCAAAATATCCCTTTACCTATTCTCAGGTTAAGGAATTGCCTACCCTTAAGGATATGGACTTTCTCAACAAGAACCAGAAAGTTTATATTGGTGAAGAGGAGAAGAAAATATTTCTAGAGAAGCTAAAGAGAGATGTGGAGGTGATGATTGGGGTGCTCTGGGAAATGGCTTTGTTTTCTTTTTTTGCTCCCCTCAGGGTAGTTGTCTCTCCATTCAGAGTATGAGGGAACTCCTCCCTTTCCCTTTATTCTTTGGATTCTCTGTATTTAGGGATTTGGGTATGAGACATGAAAACCCCCTAGAAGTGATGCATGGAGGGGGTGGCTGGAATGAACTAAAAGGATGATTTTAGACACCGGGACATTTAGGGTACTAAAGGCCAATGGTATACTACCAACCCTCAGTTTTTACACTACCTTTCCCAGGAGGGTCCCAGAAATTCAGGGGTTGTGGGAGGTATAAGGGTCATACCTGGGATTGGGGAGGGAGTTTCAGGGTATCTGATTTTTCATTGGGGTCTCAGTTCCTAGTGCAGCTGAAGATCATGGACTACAGCCTTCTGTTGGGCATACATGACATAATTCGTGGCTCTGAACCAGAGGAGGAGGGGCCTGTGCGGGAGGTGGAGTCAGAGGGGGATGGGGACTGTGGCCTGACTGGACCTCCTGCTCTGGTGGGCTCCTATGGCACCTCCCCTGAGGGTATTGGCAGCTACATGCTTTCTCATCGGCCCCTGGGCCCTGGAGAGTTTGAATCCTTCATTGATGTCTACGCCATCCGGAGTGCTGAAGGTAAGAGAGATCCTGGAAATTTTAAGGGTGGGGAGGGTAGTCCTTGTAGGACAGAGACTGGGGTGCTGGATGGAGAGGCTGGTTAGCTTTTCAAAGACCTGACTGGTTCCTGGGGAAAGGGAATTGGAACTATACTTGCTCTTCATTGCTGGTTACTCTCTCCAGGGGCCCCCCAGAAGGAGGTGTATTTCATGGGCCTCATTGACATCCTGACGCAGTATGATGCCAAGAAGAAAGCAGCTCATGCAGCCAAAACTGTCAAGCATGGGGTGAGGGCTCCCGGAGGCCTTTCCTTTCCTATCTTGACTATTCCTTGGGAAGAGAGAGTCTCTTGTGCCAGAGCAGTGGGGTGACAAAAGGATGAAGTGTTGGGTATGGAAAGGGTGGGGAGTGGAATAGAGGATGAGGAATGCTGAAGAGTGGCGGGATGGCCTGACACCATGTTCCATACCTCTTCTCGTAGGCTGGGGCAGAGATCTCTACCGTCCATCCTGAGCAGTATGCTAAGCGATTCCTGGATTTTATTACCAACATCTTTGCCTAAGAGATTTTGTGGTCACTGCTACTTTATGTTCAAGGTGGTGGGGTTCTGAGAGACTTGGGGGAAATGGCACTTTGTTCTGTGGGATGAACACTAAGTGACTGAATTTTGCTGATAACTTTATAGAACTCACTGGGGCATACCTGCTTCCTGGTAGGCCCTGGGATGAAAGACTTTCAAGATACTACAGATGTGGGTGCAGGCATGCACACATGATGAGATGGCCAATCTTACACACACAGGTGGGGTGGAGAGAGGTCAGCAGGCTGGCAGCTCATGGAGGTGGGAACTAAGAGGACTCGTGATTGATTATGCAGAAAACTGGAGAAAGTCTCTGTCAAGGATGGACTGCTCTCTCCAATCTTCCCTCACCCCGCTTTCATCCTCACCTCTGTACTTCTGGACACAGGAGCCCAGAGATGGATGGCCAGTGTTCAAGGCTAGGTGAAGGAGTTGACTGCTCTGCTCCTCCTCAAGACTACACACCCCTTCTGGCTCGGGAACCCTTCAGTGGAAGAGTGACAGTTTTGTAGGCTTGGATGATAGGCCAGGGGTCTAAGGTTCATTCCCCATGTTAAATTTTTCTTCATGCCTACCATCCCTGAGGTTTTATTCCCAGGGAAGGTAATGTCTCTACCTGGGTCAGCCCTGGACATTTCAAGAGAATGGAGGTCTCAAGTATAGGAACCTCCTCTACCCACTGGAGGTGTGTGCCTAGCATACTTCCTCCCCCCACTCCTTCTCAAACCCCTTTTCCAGTTGGATTTGTTATTCTGTCCTCTTCTACCCCATCTTATTGCTACTGTGTCTCCCAGTCATCTTCACTCTCTTCCTATAGAGAAATCAGAGCTGTAACTCGATCACCTAGCCCCCTCCAAAGATAGTGGTGTGGATGCATGATATTCTCAGAATATAGAGGTTCCTGATGAGCCCAGATAGTGTCCTCCCCACCCTCCAATGCATTTGGGGCAAAGGCAGCCATTCTTCTTGTTATCCTCCATACCCCTTGAGGCTTCTACATTTTTAAAAATTATCAAGATGGATACCAGCAACTGGCCTGTGGGGATGCAAAGATTCTTTGCTCTGTATCTAGCTGGACTGATCTGTCTCAAGAAGTCATGAGGTCGTAAAGAAGAATTCCTGCCCTGGTTGATGTGGCTCCGTTGGTTGAAGCGTCATCCCATACACCACAAGGTTGTGGGTTTGATTCCCAGTGAGGGTACATACCCAGGTTGTGGGTTCGATCCCTGGTCAGGATGCATATGGAAGGCAACGGATCATAGTTTCTTTCTCCCTTTCCCTTTCTCTAAAATAAAAGAATAAAAGTAAAAACAAACAAAAAAAAATCCCCCTTCTCCCTCCATCTTTGGCTCCAAAGGAAGTAACAAGAGGAGTCCCATTTAAGGATTGGGACTTACGATACCTTCCTGCCCAGAGCCTACCGTTCCCCTGGTGAATGCAATAAGACTCCATGACACCAGCAACTGTTGTTCTTTAGGAATGGGTTTTCTGACCATGTAGCTGATGTATCATGAGCAGTATGGTCTTGCATTTGTTGCTTCTGATTTTCATCTTTTTTTATTAACTAATACAAAAGATCTTGTGTATTTACTCCCATGGCTGTCACTATATAGAAATTAAATTATGGAATCTAAATCCCTTCACAGAAATGCCTCTTTTTTTTCCTTTTCTGAAGAAGCCTGCTGAGGATTGCAGGGACCAGATGACGAATTCTGATCTTTAAGGTGTTGAGCCCCTAAGTAAGGATATAGGTTTCTACTTAGATGGCTGTGAACTTAAAAGATTGTGAGGATTGTGGCCCTGGCCAGGTAGCTCAGTTGGTTAGAGCATCGTCCCAGCACACCAAGATTGCAGATTCGATCCTGGTCAGGGCACATACAAGAATCAACTAATAATGCATAAATAAGTGGAACAACAAATCCATGTTTCTCTCTTCCTCTAAAAATCAATAAATAAAACGAGTTTTTTAAGTTGTATTGTGCATTCTCCAACTTTATGGAAGTTAAGCTATAAGAGCTAGGAAGAACTGAGAAGTGACCCAGGTGCCCCCGGATTCTGGGCTTGGTCACACCCCCTCTCTCTGTCAAGGTGCCTCTCAGCCCACGAGCTAAAACAAGGAACTCCGTTTTCCCCCAGGCTTCTTGGGAAATATGTCCTCTGCCTGGAGGGCAGAAATAGTACAGCAGGGTCCTGGGAAAGTGAAGAAGTGACCAACCCTCCGCCCAGAGGGGCGTGAAGGGAGGGGTGGTGGACAGAGCCGTAGCCAGGCCGGGAGACCGCACCTCCGCGGAGGAGGTCTGGCCGGTGGGAAAGCCTGGCCCGATGCGGCCCCAGGGAAGCAGCTGGAGTTGGACCGGGGCGGAGATGGCTCTGATGTGGGAACCAAACAGCAGAGCTTTCTTTTCCTTTGAGAGTTTTTAACTATTTGAACCGCAGACTTGAGCCCCCCACCCCCACCCCAATGCGTTTTAACAAACGTGATGGCTTCCCGTTCTGCACCAGCCTCAGTGTCTCCGGAGAGAACCCTCAGGGGCACCGACCCCGCCTGGCAGGGGGCCCGGCGGCGACTTGGGAGAGGCCGGGACGAGGGGTGGCGAGCGGTTATCCGGGGTTTACGGTTGTTTCAGCTCCAGCGCTGTGCTCGTCACGGTGACTCCTCCTCAAAGGCCCTCCGGCGCGGGACCCCAGCCTGCCGGCTCCCCGTCCCCCAGACCCGCACCCCTC